CAGTATTTTATGTTGTTGTCGGAAGTCCCGGGATCTGCGTCGGGACTTCCGACGTAGATCTGAACGGTTGGATTTTCACTTGGAGTATAAATACTCCTCTCTTCACTTCTAACAGTAGCGACTCATTTCACAGCGGACTAGCTTCGAACTCAACAACTCCCAAGCAACCAAAGCACCCCTCTCCTTCCCCCTTTGCTCGAATCTTCGATTCCCTTAGGGTTTGAGTGAAAGGAGAGTGGATTTAGTAAGAGCATCACGTTGGAAAGCTTGAGCACTTGATTTCTTCGTCAAGCCGAGTGATTTTGCGTCTATTACTCTTGGGGCTTTGCCCCTAGCCGGCTAGGCGTTGCCCTAGAGCTTCCATCTTGTGGAAGATCCTTGGGAAATTTGTATTACCCTTCGATTTCTTAGTGGAAAGCTCAAGTGACCTTTGTGGTCGCTTTGAGAGAGGCAAGGAGGTGGAAAAGACTCTGACCTTGGTGGTCACCTCAACAACGAGGATGTAGGAGCTCCTTAGTGGGGTTGCCGAACCTTGGGATAAATCCTTGTGTCCAGTGTGCTTGTTGTTGTGATTGCTAGAGATTATTTGTATATGTTTGTCTCTTTCCCTCCCAAACTTGCATTTTAGGGTTTGGACTCGATCTACGGTTTGGAGGCATTACGGCGTCAAGGAGTGACCTAACATCTTCACCAAACCACTAGAAAGTGAGGTTGTAAGTTTATTTATCCGCAAAGTTAAATTTGGCACTGCTTTTGTAGTTCACGTAGGTGTCGGAACTGCTGACGTTTGCGCCGGAACTTCTGACAACGTCGGAAGTTCTGACCCAAACGTCGGGACTTTCGACTGTGACTGGCAGAATTGAACTTAGCATTTGCAGTAAATTTTTAGATACGCCTATTCACCCCCCTCTAGGCATTGTTAGATCCTTTCAATGTGGAACTTCAGGGCAAAGGTTGCGATGGCCATGCCGGTGAGCTTTGCGCATGCTACCAGCCACCGGCGCGCCGTCGAGCTCCACGCATGTGCCACTGAGCCGGCGAGCTTTTCACGATGGATGCTCCAACAAACAGGCGATGGGAGGAGCTTCGTGTGACACCGCCCCGCCGGCGAGTTGCCCGCGCCGGCGTCGAGCTCTGCAACGATGAGTATGCACCTGCCAACAACAAGGTGTCATTGCGTTGCAACCGCTTGTTGCAAGTGTGTTCCAGGTGTTTCAAAGGTTTCACATGAATGTTTCAAGTTGTTTATCTGGATGCTGCAAATGATGCAATATACATATATAAAAATGTCTCATCTGTTTTAGACATATGTTGCAAGTTTTTTATCTGGATATTGCATATGTTCCACTCATATGTTGCAAGTGTATATTCGAAATATTTCATCTATTTCAGACGTATGTTACACCAAGTGCTCCATGTTGTAAAGTGTTTCATATTTCAGAGGTATGTTCGGAGAGTCACGAGGCGTGGTGGGTGATGGGGGCACGGCCTGCATCGGGGATGAGGCGCAATGAGCTGTGGGCTGCATGGACGGGGCACGCGCACGCTGGGCCTCTAAAAGAGGCGTCTTGGATCGATCGACGGACATGTCAAGCTTTTTGGACTCAGGCGAGCCCACGCTACCGTGAGAAGGCAGGACGAATCGCTCGTATCAGACAGTTATTGTTCCTCATATCTCAGGGAGCTGCCTTCGGACGCGTTCTAAAGCCAAACGTCAGAGTGCTAGCCTTTTCAGGCTTAAAAGCATGGAATGGAGCAGTGCCAAACACCCAAGGGAAATAGAAAAAAAATATCCAGAAATAATCTAGACAATTCCCAAAACACTTTTTATATAGATGTATAAGCGTGTGTGTTTTTAAAAAAAGATGTATGAACGTGTTGTAATGACCGCTTGACCGGACAGCGTGCGCCGGTCGAGTGATGGGCGTCGGTTGGACCTGTAAGAGCAACTCGAGTAGTAGCCCTCGAAACAGGGCCCCTACTTTTTATATAGGTGCTCCTCCCCTATTTTTTAGACTGTACTCCAGCAGTGGCCCTTAAAATGGAGCCCCCAAATTCATTTTAACTGCCAATGACACGTGGGACCTGGTTGCCATAGACTAACTCGGCCAAAACAACTAGACCCGAGGGGAGCGCAGCGGCAACGGGGAAGTGGCCCGCGAGTCGTGCGTCGTCGCAGTTCAGTCGTGGGGAAGTAGAGACCGCTCGCCGCGCACGCAACCTGGAGTGGAGGCCCAGCGTCCTCGCGACCAGCTCCGGTGCGGGAAAGTGGAGGCCGGTGAGAAGGGGAGGGAACAGGGAACAACAGCGTCGGCCGGTGAGAAGGGGAGGGAGGAGGCAGCAGCGTCGGCCGGTGAGAAGGGGAGGGAGAAGGGCAGCCGCGCCAGTGAGAAGGGGAGGGGGGCGCTCGTCGGAGCAGGGGAGGAGCTGTCGCTCGGCTGCCGGGTGAGGGAGACCGCGCGTTCCGTACGGGCGCGGGGAGAAAGACAAGATGGGGGCTGATGATGTAAACACCGCAGTAAGGCCATGTTTGAATCCATAGAGCTAACAGTTAGCTGCTAATAATTATCTCCTTAATCTAACCAGGCATAGCTAATAGTTTAGCTAATTGTTAGCTAAATAGCTAACTAATAAATATTTTATTAGTTGAACCAAACTAGCTGATAGTAGGCAATATCAACTATGAACCATTTGCTAGCTAACTAATAACAGCTAATATTAGCTATGAACCATTTGCTAGCTAATTATTAGCGGCTAAAGGATCCAAACAAGGTTTAATATAACCGGACAATCCAAGTATATATATACTATCTTAGTGGATTCGGGTTCTTGGAACCCAGCAGTTCTCCTTGGTAAAAACACGGGTGGAAGAGACATGGTGGGGTGGCGGCGTGGATAGGATCGAACTGTATCGGACGTCGCTTTCTTTCGTGCAGACAGAGGCGATCTCCATCTGAATTCTGAACGCTGTGAGTGATGGACCATGGGGCCTCCTGTCCGGAGCCCATGCAGATGGACAGTGCAGCTCAACCACCGATCTAGCTATATATATACTGCCAGTGTCAGTGTATTCTTCAGAACAACTTATTACATTGCCATTTGATGCAATCAGAGTAACCCAGTTTAGGCCATGGACAGATGTGGATCGGAGCCATTGTAATCTGATACCCATGTCATGTATGGGAATGGGATCCTAAGAGCAACTCCAGGAGAGTAGCCATTTGTATCGTGAAATGCTATTTTAGTCATTTTTAGAAGAATCACGGCTTGAACAGCTATTCTATCGTGTTTTCCAAAACAACAAGTCATCCGTTCCACACTTCTCGCTGAGTAAAAATAGCATGCCATGAAGGCTCACCATCTGTGCATGGTGGTGTACAAGCAAGTGGCTGGAAGTACAGGAAATGGGAAAACGAACCAATCTTAGCTTGACATGTCAGCTTTAAAAAATAGATTTTTGAGAAATTTAGAAAGACTGTTGCATTACTCTATTCTTTTGAAGGACGTTCTATTTTAGAGAATGGCTAAGTCATGAATTTTAGACTCTTATTTTAAAGGATCTCTCGGAGCTGCTCTAACAGCAGCAGAATCGTTCTGCATGCAGGCAGGCGGCAGGACCTTAAACAATGACACTTCCCGCGTACAGTATAATTATGAATTATTCTCTCCCAGCCAATAATACGCGCAAATGGGCACACCGCAACGGGCGGCGCTACAGTCCACGGACCGGCCCTGTAATCTTGCGAGCCCGAGCTACACGGCAATTCCTCCCAGCGATGCGCGCTTGTCCGCCACAGGCCTCTCACCTCTGTAGCTACTGGTGGCTCGTCGCTGCTGCAGCAGAGCAGGCCGTCGCAATCATGCGCGCTGTCGCCTTTCCCAAAGACAAACGGCGCCGGGATAAGCCTGTCTGTCCGGCTCCGGCCGGGGTCGCCGCATCGATCGGGCCTGAGAGAAGAACAACTGTATCTCGCCGACGGCCGATCCCGCCTCGCCATGTGCCCCTCGGCTCGGCGCGCGGGATGATCTTGAGTTCTGGGCTGGCGGACCATTGGATAGGGCGGTGAGGAGTGGGTGGCATCATGGTAAAGGTGACTTTACCTAGCTTACGCAACAAGATCCAAATCGAGGCTACACGGACGGTGATCTGCGCGTCGTGCCGCGTATAAAATGGCCGAAGATGGCGCCGCCGTGCCGGCGCCTGAATGGCCCGATCCTTCCTAGTCCTAGTCCTAGTCTAGCTCGGAAGGAATCATGATCCGCACTGTTCGTCTGTGAGCTGGGGCTCGCTCGGCCCGACACTACGGCGGCTTGACAAAGCCGTTCCGGTTCCGCCGAGTCAACATCGGGCTAACGTGTTCAGGTGGGCGGGCAGGCAGGCAGATGCAGATGGCCTGCAATTCAACAGTTCGACTCGTCGTCGCTTACCTTTCTCTGCTCGTGACATCACAGACTGCAGTTTGAGACTGAACGTGCCGATGCGTTGAACGGAGGAGGGAACGCGATGGAGCTTCGATTCGATGGATCATTCCACTCCATGCACTGGCTGGCCTGGCTGGCGGCGCACGAGACTCAGATGATAAGCGTGTACTGTGGCTTGGTACCGTCACGCAATCTCCGGGCAGTGACGCCAGGATATTCTGCTGGGTTTGGACATCTTTCGTTTGGACCAAGAGATCTTTACTGCAATAGCACGGCGCCCTGGGGATTGCAGGATTCAATTCGATCCATGGACATGAATCTTGAATGCTCACCTGTGCTGTGCATCCATCTTGGCATGGATGATGATGATGGTACTAGTAGCACATGTGTTGTGTTGAATATGGTTCTGAGGCGAAACAAAAAAAATGGAGCAAGAAGTGAAACAAAAACAGAGATCTTTATCTACACACCGAATGCTTTACCTAATCGATCGTCGATCCGTCACCAATCAACGCGAAAACGATGGAAAAGATTGGTTCGTGCACAGAATGCAATGCAGTAGCCAGTAGGCGGGGGTGTCAGAAGAGGTTGAGGACCTCGCGGATGGTGGCGTTGCAGAGCGGGCAGCGGCCGCGGCCGGCGCGGAGCTCGCGCGCGCAGGCGCGGCAGAAGGTGTGGCCGCAGGGGATGAAGGCCGCGCCCTTGCCCCGCGCGACGCACACGCAGCACCGCCCGCCCACGCCGCCGCCCTTCTCCTCCTCCTCCTCCACGGGGGCCGCTTCCTCCGCGCCGCCCGCGCGCTTCCACGTCCACTGCTGCTGCTGCTCCGTCCGCTCCAGCAGCGCCATCAGGGACACTCTCTGGCTCTCCGCCCGCGCGGCGGACCCCGGCGCCGCGGTTGCCGTGCCGCCCGCGCCTCCAGGCGCGGGGGCGGGGTGAACGCCGCGGCGGCCGGAGGCGACGGAAGGAGGGCGGCGGCCCTCGTCCGCGTCCCGGATGGCGTCGAGCAGCGTGCGGCGCCTCGCCGCCGCGGCGGGGCGGCCTTCTCCTCCTTCGCCGTTGTCGACGTCGTCGTCCCGGAGCTTGAGAAGGTCGCGGAGGTTGGACGACGCGGCGAGCTGCTCGGCCAAGGTGACGCCGCGCCGCGGCGTCGGCGGCCGTGGCCGTGACCCCGGCGCCGCCCGGACCTCCATCCCTCGCGCTCGCGCCACCAACTCGGGACTGGAGGAGCCCGCTGACGCCGCCTGTTGGCACTGCCACCCGCACCCGCTACCCAGTTTATACCGCGTGCCAGTCTGCCACCCGTTCTTGTTTTGGGAACCAACCGGCTTCCTCTTGGTTTGGGAGGCGAGGCGACTCGCGTCGCGTGAGGCGTGAGGCGTCGTGCGCGGACGCGGGAGCAGCCGCCCGATTACGGGCGCCACTTGGCGGGCGCGCGCGCGCTGGGCTCGGCCGGTCGCGTCGCGTTAGCCGCGGCCGCACGGGAGGGCCGCGACGGCTGACGGTTTCGCCCTGCCGCTCCCGTTTTCCACCGTGTGGCGCGGGCTTTTTTTACGGGGCAGGGACTCGGGAGCAGCCGGCAGCGGGAGCCGAGACTGACCTACCTGTGGACCGACTAGCGCTGCGGTCGTGCGCCGCCGTTGCCTCGTGTGATGGGACTCGGGACGGACGGATAGTACTAGCAGTAGGTCATATTGGTGGATCGTGGATGGGCAGCGGTTCTCTACTTTTGTGGGCGTTTGGCACGGGTTGTTGCAATGTTGCGTCGACCGGGGCCGGTGGACGTTCAGGTCCAGGATTTTTACCTCCATCCGAAAAAGTCCAGCACCGGATCCCTGGGCTCTGCCCAGTTGTGCCTGCTTCTGCCGTAGTTTTGACGGATCAACGCTGGCTGGCAGCAGGTTCAAGCACACCAGCAGTAACCCAGCTGCGCTTTACGCTGTCAGCGGCACTCCACTTTGCTTTTTGCAGTTGCAAGCCAACAATCAAGCTGGACACCGTAGTCGTGCAGTCTGTTGCAATCCAATAGAGTTTTTGAACAGCTGCCAGGCTGAAATGATACGGGATGCAAAATCTGAAACCAAAATTTCAAGCGGGAACTCCATAACAAAAGAATCTGAGTATGTATATGTATTAAAAAAAGGATCTCTCAGATACTCTCTCCGGGTGATGAGGTGTGAAAACAGCTGTGATAGTTGCAACTACAGGATTGATCCTAAACCTGTTACAATGCCCCCATCACTCAAAATCTAGGGGCATGCACATACCAAAGAAAAATTTCAAGTTGACCATGAACCTTTCAACAAAACCTTGCCAATTTTAACCAATCTCCAGGTCACCAACTATGTTCTTCAAAGACCAAAAAAAAAAAAAAGAGAAGGAAATGGCTGTAGGGGAGTATGAACAGTTCTGTTCAAGTCCAATTGTGAAAATCTCTTCGACCAAGCAAATGAATGGTAATGAAGCCACCTAGGGCCATGGACCGACTCAATCGAAGGAACAAAATGGACTTGGTAGATAGCTACATTAGTATGCAAACTCATTGAGCCATGCCCACCAAAAAATGATCTTGCATGATAAGTGACTGTCTGATGAGTACGCTGAAAGAGATCTTATCTTAGTCGCCCACCCTCTCATAAAACAGAATGTAAGCCTCACAGTTCAGCACTTCTTCCAGAGAGGCTTCTCTGACTTGTCCATCGCTTGCATAAAACCAAGACTTTGAGCCAGTGCTCTGCTGCTGCCGACCTCCAATCTTGCAAGCTCTCACGTACGCAATATAATGACCTCCCGTCATGGTTCCCAAGTGCTCGACAACACCAACTAGACGATAGGTGCTGGTGTTGTTCTCCTTACATCTGCAAGTAACAGAAAACAGTGATGAACAGACCAATCCCAACGCTGCAAAGAGCTGTTGCTACTGATAAATCACAAGCATGTCACACTTCTATCACACGATCATCAAGACCTCATCAGAGGTTATGGATATTAAAACCCAAGATACCTTGGCTTTTCCAAATACATAGTTTTTCCTATGCACTTAGATATACACTATGTCTAGGTACATAATAGAATCAATGTATCTAAAAAAGCCAAAACGTCTTATAATTTGGAACCGAGGGAGTAAATATTATAAGGCTTAGCTACTAAATAAACTATGCAGAACATATCCCTCATCAAGAATAAATGTAGTGAAGTTGGGTAGTAAGGACCAAGAAAATTTTAATGTGTTAGATTGATTAGGACACCAATAGAAGATTTCGCCATTATATGCCCTCAAACATGACTATATAGCTTCAGTACAAAAGTTCCTACAGCCTGTTCGCTGGCTCGTAAACGATCGTAAATTTCCAGCCGGGAACAGTATTTTTCTCTCACACCAAATCAGCCAGCAGTAAATAATCCACGATACGATACGGCCTCCCGAACAGGCTGCTAGTCAATTTGAACTGTAGGCCGTGGAGCAGAAGCATGAGCCGCAGATCTGCAGAGCAGAAGGGGCGGGAGTGTTCCAGGTGCTACAGCCGTCGTCTTCTCTTCCCCTATCTCCTCTCTTTCCCTCCCCTCTCAATTGGCGTGCTGCAGGGTGGGGCGTGTTCCAGCGGAAGGTATAGGTGCCGCGCGTGATTTCCCCTGCGTGCGCAGCTCCCTCTTGTTTTCCGTGTGATTTCCCCTGCGCGCGCAACTCCCTCTCGTTTTCTCCCCGCACGCATCGCTCCGCGCACTTTTCCCTGTGCCTGCAGCCACCTTGTCGCTCTTGCAGCGTCAGTCCCATGCCATGGTGATGCCATACGCAGGGAGGTCACAGCAGGCATGACGCCTCGATTGGAAAATGCCCAGACGGCGCCTTAATAACCATGCATTTGAGCAGGGTAACACAAACTGAACCCCTTTTTTGCACCATATTTTCAGTAGAGTGAATATTTCAGGTAACTCGAAACTGAACCTAATTGGTTAGCTAGCTTGATAGTTATATGGCAGAATTATTATGGACATGGATATATTTGTAATAACTAATAAGTGCCTTGAAAAAAAAGTAGCGACAGATTAATAGTGTTATATATTTTGTTGATTCGCATGCTGAAAAGGTCAGCTTACCTGTTTGTTTGGGTAGTAATCAGTTCAATCAAATCCTTTCACTGGTTTCAACTTCGCTATACGTGGCCTTCTCAGGTGCTTAACAATTATAGTTGGTTACTGCTATCTTGCTTAACTAATGAAAGAAAAAATTTGCTGCTGTATCCATACTATGACAGCTCATATTGTGTAAAAGCATCTCATATGTCAGTTGAGTTTATTAATAAATCTAAAGCTATCTAGAGAAAGAACACCCCAGATTACTCCAGGCGTCATTGGAACTTTCCCTTTAATTTGTTCGTGTCACTATGGATGGATTTTCACAAGTACATGATTCACTCTTCTGTTTTAGCAAGCTTATAGCCTAAAGCAGATCACACATATCAAGCTACATCTTATGCTAATATAGTAATATTCCTGTATTGTTTGTGATTTCACATTACTGCCCAATGTTTCAGAGAAAATCATTGTAAGGACAGCAGATGGTAGAGAACCTTTGGAAAGAACCTTGCATTCGGCATGTCAAGTTCATTATAGCTATTACTTTGACCTTACACCACAAATTGCATAAATTATTGACAGAAAGTTTCATTATGGCATGAATTTAGTTATAACATGTGTTCGAGCAAAACAAAAATGAATTTAGTTATAACGTAAGCACGTGTAGACATGAATTCAGCACGATGGTCACTGTTTACTTGTGTATTTCCATTATTGTCGAGAAAAAAAAGAGAGCTGTAATATGTGTACAATATAATCGTATATGCTTTACTATCATTTTGTACGATAATGTCACCGTAGTGTTGAATTGCAGCAAAGCAGAAAACAGTTGACTCATTAAAGGATAAAATAGATGTTTTCAGAAGTAGATGGTACCTTGGGTCCATGAATGGTTGTATATCAAGCATCTCCTTAAAGTGCACATGTCCTTTCAGTTTCTTATATCGACCATGAGAATCCTGGCTGAATCTGTTCAAGTTAATCGTCAATACAGGTGGAGCCTTGTTTATAAGAATTCTTCTCAATGCAGCTCTGAAAACCTGTGTCTCATCCTCTTTCTTCTTATTTTGGTTATCTTGCACTAGCTGTGCCTTACCAACCATCTTCATTCGCTTCCTCCTGCCTTGATTCTTTGTGATGGCATCTTCATTATCTTTTGCACCCAGCAAGGTTTTTTGTGCATCTGATGGAAGGCTACTCGACACAACTTCTTCAGTACCACCAACAGGTTGAGCTTCAACATTGTTAGTTGCATTGCAAGACACGGAATCACCACCACAACTCAGTGGTGCACTTGCTGCTTTAGAGGTTATATCCACATTATGACCATCATTATATTGGATAGGTGAATCATGTTGTTGGTTATTCAAAGATGAGGACTCAATTTCTAAGCTTTTCAAATCCATACACTGTTCCTTGTGGCTGGCCTGATTGCTCGACTGTTCAGTCTCATTCATAGTGAAGACTGCACCAGATCTCTGCATAGAAGTATTTTCTGTGTCTGGAAAATTACAATCACAGTTTTGTTCAGGGTCAGCCAAAGAAGGATTAACACACCTACCTTCCTTGCAATGCATATAAGAATGTACGTTGTCAGAGCAATCACCAGTTGCCATAATCTGATCAATGTCCTTTTTGCAACCATCAGTTCCCATAACCTGATCAATGCCCTCCTGTTTGCTGCAGCTCATGATCAACTTTTCACCATCTTTTCTTCCATCACCACCTGCCATCATCTCCTCACCATCCTTTATTTCATTAGCTCCGTCCGTCATCTCCATGACATTTTTCCTTTCATCAGCTTTTACGCGTGCAGCATTAGTACAGTGCTCACACAGCCATGGCTCAGACAGCAGCTCTGGTTCAGTATACAAAGCCAAGCAGCCCTCAACTGATACAGGAGCATTACTATCATCTACCTCATCATCAGCACTGTTACTACTCCAAGCCATTACATCAATATCTTCTACTTTACAAGCTTCTTTCTTGACTTCAGAAGTAACTTCTGGTTCATTGAACATATCACCAAGACCAACATAGTCATCTTGCTCCACATCTCCACAATATCCAGGTTGTGTATTATTTTCGGTTACTGGAGAAATAACTAGAGGAGGAACTGCACATTCAGAATTATACGAATTTTCAATGGTTTCATCCCTTTCCTTGGCAGTGGTACCAATTTCTTTGTAAGGAAGTAAGATAACAGTCTGTAAGGAGGCATCATCATCAACAGTGTTCTCACCTGAGTGCTCAGAACCCAAGAACTGCTCTTTGGGTAGAGCATCATCCTGAGGGTGCAAGGGACCATCTGTTGCATCCCTGCATTCCCAAATTTGTCCTGTTCCAGTAGAATCTGCAGAATCAAGAATCTCAGATTTTGTTTCATCCGCATCGGCGACATAATCCAACCAGCAGATGCTATTCTCCACATTCGTAGTGGCATTTTGTTCTTGATTAGACACAGAACCACATGACTCACTGCATCCAGAGGGCTCAGCCTCTTTCTCGCTGACTACCTGTTCGAGTTCTGAACCAGGAATTTGGGAATTGTTGCGCTCAGCAATTGTTTGGATCTGTTCTTTACTCTCTACTGAAGGAGATGCTCGAGCTGGAACCTTCCCGTATCTGCGGCTTTTGTTCCTATCTCGTATGGATTGTTTGGTCCTCTTTGCTGGTGGTGATGAAACACTCTTGGTTGGAGGCTTCCTTGATGGAACTGGTAGTGAGAGATCAAGGAATTGATCATGTTTAACGGAACTGTGTGAGCATTCTGTGCTGGACACAGTACTAGACAGCTGACCCCCAAAAATGGAATCCACAATTGTGGGAACCCTTGCATCTGAAGCTTCCTCCGCTAGCTTCCGTGCTTCAGTTTCCTCTGTACGCAAACCATCAAGAAAACAACGGAGCAATTCATGACTATCCTGCATCTGGTAGCCCCTGAACTGCGGATATTTTGAGCAAATGCTTGAGAAAAGGTTCTTCGGGCTTAGCGCGCCTCCTGCATGATTTGAAGCACTTGTCTCTGCAAAAAGCTTCTTCAGTGACATAGCAAGGGCCCCTGTAGGAACATCTGGTCCTAACATCTTCCTGCGCAGCCTATCAACCGCGAGGAGGCTCTGCAGCACTGCATTGAAGAAGCATGTATTTCCCAGATTTGGCAGCCCTTTGATCACATTAGCATCGGGGTTAATCAAACGCCATGAATCAGTATCCTCTGCACCAGCCACCTTATCTTCCACTGCTGCTGCAACAACTGTCTCTAATTTGGGCATCTCAATTGACACCTCCTTTTCACATGACAAACAATAAGCAACTGTTGGGTCATCATACCTTGCAGCCCACCAATGCCGGTCCTGCTTAGCATGCCGTCTGGCATGGCCATAGGGCTTGGTATCCTCTACTGCACCACCACAAAAATGCCGACCACAGTCCAAGCAGACCCACGTATCACTTTTGTCCGCCTTTGCCTGCGCCTTGGCAGTAGCGCCTTTGGAGGTGCCTCCTTTCTTCTTCTGCTTACCCCCAGCACCATCTTTCTTTCTTGGGGCATCTTCTCGGCAGTGCTCACATGACGCAACGTGCTTGGAAGACAAGATCTCCAGGAGGACCTTGTCCAAGTGGGCATTGTCACGCCCGTAGTGGCCGCAATGCTCCCGGCCACTAGCTGAAGCAGCTGCTTCCTCTGCTGAGTGGCTTGCATCCTGCGATGCTGCATCACCAGGTCCAACCTCCGAGGATGAGGCTGGAAGATCCCGTTCATGCGCTTTCCGCGGGTTCTTGGGCTTAGCCTTCACCTTCTTCCCCATCACTCCTGAACAGGGCTGGAATCAACCAGGGGCGGAACCAGTAAAGGACATAGGTTTACAAATATACACCTGACAATTTTTGCAAAAAAAAAGTCGAAGTTAGTATGCATGATACATGTATTCAGTTGTAATTAGATCGGATCCGAAGACAAGTAGCCAAATAGCTTAAGTTAGGGTTTGGGCCCTCGGTTTCGCACAGCAGGAAGGGAAGAGAAGAGTTGCGCGTACCTGGTGGGTGCTCGTCGCCGGCGAAGCGCCCGACGAAAACCGGGGAACCTGGCGTAGGTCGGCGGCGGCGGTCGCACAGTTGTCGCCAGGAGAAAAAGAGGGAGGGGGAGAGCGCACGCGTGGTAAACCTGAGTTATATATATCTCTTCTACTATTCTACTAGCGGAAGGCCTCTCCGATTCTCACTCGGTCACTCACTCACTCCCCTCCCTTTAATAATATAGAATAAAAATAAATAAACAGCTACCCCTGGCGCGCCCCGCCCTAACGGCCCTACCCCGGGCCCCGCTGCCGCCGCCGCCCCTCCCCGCCGCACGTGAATCAGCGCCGACAGGTGGGCCCTCAGGTGCCTCCCTCGTCCGTGAATCCCCTCCCTCGCTCTTTGCCTTGCTGATGGCTGCGCCCGCCCGCGCCTCTCGCCCCGCCGCCGGCCACGCCCGCCTCACTAATGGCCCGCGCGCCTGCGATACCTGAACCTAATAATCACAAAGAGCTCAGCGCGCGGATCCAGAGGAGGGGACCGTGTGCCGACGCCGCGATGCCGATCAGCGCGCCGTCGTCCGACTCCTCGTCCTCGTCGGGCTCGGGTGCCCGCGTGTGGGTACTCCACGGGCTAGCGCTCGGCGCCGCGGCCGCGGCCGCTGCCGCGGCATACCTGTACCGGTGGCCGAGCGGGTTCCGCAGCCGCGCGGTGGGGATCATACCCGCGCGCTTCGCCTCCACGCGATTCGAGGGCAAGCCGCTCGTTCACATCCTCGGCAAGCCCATGATCCAGGTCCGCCTCCTTCTTCTTACCTTGTCTTATCGCATCTTTTAGAGAGAGATGGGAAGCTTGCGGTAGATACTCAATATATAGGGGAAATTGTACCTGCAACTCGCGGTTGGGAGTGCGAGGGGAGGTCGAATCGAATTATGCCGTTTCCGTTTAGAATGAACTACACAGTGGCTGTTCTGCTGGTTACTGAAATTTTGTGAATCGTTTGCAGGCTTCATTCCTCACAATTCAATGTTTTTCCAGCAATTAAAAAGTCAAGCTTGAGTTGGGTGAATTTCAATTTGATGGATTTTGGAGAAGGGAAATGGTATAGCTGTTAGTTTTAGCCAGTTTTAATTTCTTGCCTGCGATTAATCCAGCAATATGTATAATTCCTACAGCACCTTGTGCTGACACTTTTTTACACTGAATACAGAACTAATTTCTTCTGAAAGTGTATCATTGCTTCTTCTGATTTGTTACATATTTTACTTCTTGTTCACTTGTTCAGTTAAAAATTTGTGTGTTTCGCACTTACAGAGAACATGGGAAAGAGTTATGCTAGCTTCTTCTTTGGACCATGTTGGTAAGCCCAAGATGGCTAATATTAATCACTGATTGATTTCATTTGTTTGTCATGTTCACACTTGTGCCTTTTCCCCCTTAGTTGTGGCAACGAATGATGAGAGAATTGCAGAGTGTTGTCGGGGATTTGGAGCTAATGTTATAATGACATCAGAATCTTGCAAAAATGGTTTTTTTTTTTTTTTTTTTGTAGTTATATTATCTCTTCATGGAGGTGTGTGTTTATTGGCATTTGGTTGATAACATAGGATCTGAATGCTGCTGTGAGGCACTTAAGAAGCTTGAGAAACACTATGATATTGTCGTCAATATTCAAGGAGATGAGCCTCTTATTGAACCAGAGATAATAGATGGTGTAGTTATGTCACTGCAGGTGGTTAATTACACAACACTGTCTTGATGTTGCCTGTACTTCTCTTCAGTTAAATAAAATGGTTCTTAGCATTTGTAGCTGGGGAATAATATCTTTTCTTTAAGCTTACTCCTGAAAATAATGCATTCATCATTCTAATTATGTTGCATGCTACACATTTAACATTTATCTTGACCTTGTGCAACCTAAACACCCTGTGCCTTGCAGATGTCTTGATCTCTTTTTATTGACCTTGTTTCCTTGTACTTCAAATGTGGCTTGCAGCGAGCTCCTGATGCAGTCTTCAGCACAGCTGTTACTTCACTGAAACCAGAAGATGCATTCGATACAAATCGAGTGAAGTGTGTTGTGGATAATCAGGGCTACGCAATATACTTTTCAAGAGGGCTGATTCCATTCAATAAGTGAGACACCAATGGTTGCTTTAACTCTTCCATTGGCTATATTTTCACATGAAATTTTTCTGACCCTGACCATTTCAGATCAGGGAATGTCAATCCGAAATACCCTTATCTTCTTCATCTTGGAATTGCGGTATTTTATCAACCTTATGTTTATTTATTTATATTTGCTTCATGGTCCTTTGATTAACCGACTTTTTACTAATTAATTAACCGACTGTTCTCTCACGCAGGGCTTTGATTCAAAGTTTTTGAAGATATATCCAGAACTTCCACCAACACCGTTACAAATGGAAGAGGACCTAGAGCAACTGAAAGTTCTTGAAAACGGCTATAGGATGAAGGTATTTTGGCATGGAACTCTAGAATCTATGAGATAGACAGTGCCTGTTTGTTACTGCTGTTTTGCAGTTTGTTCACGATGAACCACGGTTTGAATGCTACTATGTTTTCAATGTGTGCAGTAGCATATCTTTTTGTATGGTGCATAACCGGTTACTGTCTGTAGTTTATATCCTAGAGCACTGAGTTTTGTTTCTGTTTGCTTTCTGTAATTGTAGGTGATCAAAGTGGACCACGATGCTCATGGTGTAGATGCACCTGAGGACGTTGAGAAAATCGAAGCACTGATGCGGGCGAGAAACTTTCAGTAGAAAATGAAGAGAAAGTGAGAAAGTGAGTGCTTTGCATTGCTATCGGCATAGGGTTGGTGTGAGACTTTTGGTTGTGCTATCCCATTTTCTGAATGGCATGATACCAAGTAAAGCTGCTGCATCAGTTCTTGAAGTTTGTGCTTGCTAAACTTTGAGTGATCGAATATGTCGATTGTCACTTGCATTACTCCTCAATCAGCAGTTCAGCGCACAGGTGGATCGTATCTGTACTCAGGAGTTAGTAGCAGTACTTTCGGTCTTCTGCACGGTGGAAACCATAGCATACTTAATAATTCACTTGATCATGGTCGTGACATTTGATCCTATCTATACAAACATCATGACTCGTGTGCTACTATCTAGATTTTCCTCTCATACTATGCTCCATAATTCATCTATTAAAATTGAGTTAATTCCAATTGTTTATAAAACTTGATTAAATATATTAAACGAAGGGTGCATGCAGATTATGAAATGGATACCAGAATTATTAATGATGCCTTATAATTGGGAAATGGGGGTGGAGAATGCTAAAAGCTGAGAAAAATGTTATCTTTTATAATCTTATGAAGAAAAAGTACATGAACAGGAAAAATTTTACTCAGTGCAAAAATTCTTCAGGCTCCTAGTTTTGAAAAGGTGTGGTCAAGACGAAGGAAGTTCTAAAATGGGGTTGTTATGTGACAGTGAATAATGGGCAAAATACAAATGTTTTTGGAGGATGTTTGGAATGGAACTGAAGATGGGTTTCCTTCTCTGTACAATTTAAGTGCTGATAAAGACTGCCTAGTCAGTGACTGTTGGGAGGGAGATGGTTGGAATATAAAGCCTTTGGAGATGAAGACATGAAGGAATGGGAAAGGTTCATGGACAGTTTAGAAGAATTTTGGTTGAATGAGGAGGCAGATAAGTTTGTTTTGGCTGTTAAGATAAGTCCGGAAATTATACTACAAGATCTATGTACAGGAGGATGACTTTTAGAGGGGCTGTCAACCAAAGAATGCAGAAACTGTGGAAGAGCAGATTACCTAATAAGATCAAAAGTTTTTGTTTGGCTGGTGACTCAAGATAGGTTGCAAACTGGGGTAAATCTGAAGAAGAAAGAGTGGACGGGGAATGTGTGGGATTGATGAAACTAGCGATCACATTTGCTTTCATTGCCACGTAGCGAGAGCTATCTGCTTCTCTTTCAAAGAAGCGTTGGGGTGGGATAGGAGTCCTCAAAATATTCAGGATGTTTTTGAATATTGGACCCTCCTTGGAGGGAAATATTATCACATTAAACTTTTCATGTTCTCTATTATGCTTTGGGGCTTATGGACCGTGAGAAATAAGATGGGGATAGAGAAAAACTTTTCATGTTCTATAAAATCTTTTCTTTTCTAAAAAATGGTGTATCTTGTCGAAGAAGAGAGATGCCAAATACTTGGACGACATGATTCGGAGCATGGGGAGATGGTTGAGGGACTTTTGGAAGCGAACTGAAAACGTAGAAGTCGAAGGCATTTTGTGAAGTTCCTCTCCACTTCTGGGAGAAGGCTTAGGCGTTTGTTTCCTTTAGCAGTCTTAGCTTTGTCTATTTAACGGCCAGATTCAGGGTGGGTCGTACTGTGCTTTTGTTCGTGTTCTTGTAAGTTGGTATCCCGGTAGTTATCTTTGTGTCTTTTTTTTGGTTTAGTTCGTCTGTACATCATGGACTCGGTGCCTTTATAAGAGTAGGGTTTCCCCCTTAAAAACGGGTGCATACAGGCTAACACATCTGTTTTCAAAATTTATTCCGGACAGGAGGCTAGCGTCCAATCAGCCTGTTCGGAAGGCCATATCGTATCGTGGATTATTTATTGCTGGCTGGTTTGGTGTGAGAGAAAAACACTGTTCCCGACTGGAAATTTACGATCGTTTACGAGCAAACGAACAGGCTAAATACTGTCCTAATGACGCCTTTCTATGCGGTCTGGATGATCAACATTGACTAATTATACTCTCTCTGTCCTGGAATATAAGATATCCTAGGAATTTTAGAAAAAATTACTGGTAAATCCAATGACTCATTTAGTCCTCACTAAACTATATAGAGGTCTCGTGCTTGCCATGTTTTGAGTTTGGTGGCCGACACTTACGGTAGGGTAGGCACACGTGTGATTGGTATTTTGGGTAGTTAATTCACCTAAAATGTGCTATAATTTGGGATAATTTTTTAGTGCTTAAATAGCATATATTTTAGGACCAAGGGAGTAATAGATAACAAGAGTTTCTACGTGCTAGCAAATAAGCACTAAAATGAGTCGATCAAGATTCAAACAATTTTAAGCTAGAGACCATTAGATAAAGTATGATTTTAGGGGGGAAATTTAAAATAGTTCATAATTTTCGGAGCTAAAATAAGATTCATATTATTTTTATAAGATTAAACCTGATTTTAGGATTTTTAATTGCATTATTTTTTATGTAAAATAATTATTTTTAAAATAAATTATTTTTGATAGTTTTTTAAAATAATTCTAGTCCGATTTACCTTCCTAAACATTCAAATTAGCCCAATTTGTCTCTCTTGTGGCTGATGTAAAGCCCGAAAGCGGATATAGTGCCACAATGGCAAAAATTGCTAAAAAAAAAGGAAAAGCCAGACTCAAGGTGAAAACAACCAATTTTAAAAGTTGAAGAAAAAACCCAATATTTGTGATGAGGGAGGAAATTAGAGGGCCGTGAAAGCTAATGGGCCAAAAACAAAACCTCTGTCTCCAAAAAATTTAGGGCCCGGGCACATAGGCGAAACCAGGGGGCCCAGGGCCACGACCCCCCTGAGCGGCCAGCGGAAGGTCTGCACGTCTGCAGCCGCAAGTCTGCAAGAGCAGCCACATGCGGCACGCTAGCTAGACGTACAAGCAAAGCAAAGTATAGGCTCTGTCCTGTTCGGCAGGATTTACTGTGCCTACGGCTGATTTATAGAACCGATTTATTGTGAGAGAAAAATATTGTTTCATGGCTGAAAAGTAGCGCTGATTCTGGCTTATAAGCTCAAGCGAACAGAACGATAGTTTCTATTTCCAAATTAAGTACTTGATTGTTTAATTGATACTATTTCTAATTTTTTAATTGCTAATTTTGTTTGTTATGCTGATTTACTATTCTTTATATAAATATTATATATTTTTTAGATAATTGATTTTTAGCTAGCCACGAAGGATATTATACGTGTCGCCGATTAGCTAGCCACGAAGGATATTATACATGATCCGCTTCCGCTTCGCCGGGTTCCAAGGTCTCCGCCGCTCATAGGACATCCGCCGTCATTAGAATATGGCTATCGCCTCTATCGGAGTTCTCTGTTGTTACCGCCGAGGATAACCTCTTCCGCCTGGACTCCCAGGCATCCGCCACCCCCTAGGGCAGCTGCTGTCGACGAGATCCGCCTCCACTATGGTTGTGGCCCCGGGTCCGCTAGATCCTTCGTATATACATCAAAATATGGTCATGTTACCCATGTTTGTTGAGAGTTTTACCTGTGTACCATTAAAAAAGATGGCCCTTTCCTACAAGTCATTAAAAAGTTTAGACGCACCCAGGTGACATGACACTTTATTTTTTTGCCTCCCAAGCCATTCCGTCCACCTTCTGTTTCATTTCCACCGTTTGACAACCCTGACATGTGGACCCGGTCGGTGACCAATGTCCAAAATACCCTTCTCTCACAATCCTATCCCCTCTCTGTTCGGTGGGGCCAAGCTGTCAGCGACCCAGCACCTTCTTCCTCCTCAACAAGAGCAGCGTGAGCTGAGGGTCTGCCTAGCAAGATTTTCATGGCCGGGGCGGAGGTCGCCCGCACGCGCGCCTACCAGACCTGCACTGCCGAGCCCATTGGAGATCCGCCTTCTTCATCTTCCTGCTGCTCGTGACATGGCGGCCCATGGCGGCAGCAGCCGCGCTCTCCACCTTCGCAACCACGCGTGCAAGGAGATGTAACCGTCCTCGCACCCCTTCGCCGTGCTAGCCAGCGAGGACGACATCCTTTGCGCCTTGGTCTGGACTTCCTCTACGCCGTGGTCTCCCTTGGTCTAAATTTGAAGGGCGACACGCAGTTGACGCGGATGCCGTGTGCGTCGAGCTCGCATGCCGCGTTCTTGGTGAGCCCCACGACGGCGTGCTTGGAGGTGGTGTAGGCATGCAGGCCCATGCCGCAGAGCACGCCCGCGACACTAGCGACGGAGACGATGCTCCTGGGTTGGTGCCATGGCGAGCGTCGTGTACTTCATCCCGAGCGCGGCGCCCACGGCTTCGTCTGCAGCATCCTCAAAGGGACGTCGACCTCCATCTGTTACTTCAGGAATGACACGGCGGCCTCGGTCGTTGTCGGCGCGCCCATGGATAGGAGCTTCGACGTCATGGCCGTGTGCGGCTACCGCGCGTGCGCGCCGTCCATGACGGGGGTACTCACGTGCTGGGGCCTCGACCCGCCGAGGGGCACCTCGGCAGCCACCCGGTATGCGCCGCCTGTGGTGGCCGGGGCAGAGCTCGCTCGCACGACCGCCTGCGGTGGACGGGACGGAGCTCGCCCGCGCACCGCCTGTCGAGCCCGTTGTTGCCTGTGCGGCCGTTCGAGCCCACCCCTGCACGGCCAAGCACCACCAGTCGCCGAAGTAGAGCCCACCCCTACCCGGCCAGAGCATCACCTCTACTGCACGAGTGCACAATCGACCATGGTTGAATGTTGAAGATCTCTTTACAGTTTAGCCCTACCCTTTCTATCTTATAAATTCACTGTATAATGTGTCCTGTGAATCTTCCCGATAGCCCCCTGTTAAACTTTACATATCTAGTTTGGTCAGCGAGGTGAGGGCATTTGTGACTTTTTCCAACGCAGATTAACACCGTTAGATGAAAAAGTGGACGGAATGTCTTGGGAGAAAAAAAAAGTGTTATGGCACCAGGTGCGCCTAAACTTTTTAGTAGCATATAAAAAAGGGTGGAACCCACATCCCAACAGGTGGGAGTGCGGGAAA